CCGTCGTCGTCCTGGGCAAGGACGCGGCGCCGCTCCGGACCGTGCCGCTCGCGGACGTCAGCGCCGTCGAGGAGCCGGGCGCGGCGTGCGGCCTCGTCGTGCGCTGCGCCACGGACGGCGCCCTGTCGCCGGGCCTGCGCCTCGAGCTCGCGAACCCGCGCGAGCGCGAGTGCCTCGCGGACGCGCTCCGCGCGGCCGCGCGGCGGTCCAAGGCGCCCGATTTGGCGGCGTCCGTCGAGAAGGACCGCGCGCGCCAGAAGCTCGAGCGCCGCCGCGCCATGTCCATCCGCGACCGCATGGAGTCCGCGGAGCAGCGCCGCAAATCGAACTCGAAGCTGCGCGACAACCTCCGGGACAAGTACGCGCTGCCGAAGAAGTAACGCGTCGTTTTTTTGCGTGAGATCGGGGCTCTTGGCCGCCCCAAACAACGTGGTCCAGGAACCCGCGTAATTTACGCAAGACACGTGGTACCGTTTTTTTTTTACTCCGCGTCGTCGCGCCGCTCCAGGGCTTCGTTTCCGCCAAGATGCTCCAGCGCGACGGCCGAGACCGGCGTAGCACAGTTAGACCTCGGTGCGCCACGCGCACCGCGTTTTGATATGCAGCAGGGGGGCTCCGGGGGAGTGGCGTGGGGAGGCGCTTGGGAGGACCTCGTTTACTGGAGTAACCTAGCATGAACAAGCACCACAAATGGAAAAATGAAGCCGGACGACCCCAGACGCGCCTGTAGGCGCGATCGAAAGCTTAAAGCACGAACTACAACACCCCTGTGATGCCTAGCTCGGCCGAGTACGGCGACCTCGAGAACCCTGAAATTCGACTTTTTTTCCCGATGAAAATCGCTGGCAGCGCGTTCGCACATTGGAGAGAAACTTAGGCATCACCAGGGGAAGATTCTCAGCCCCGCTGGGCTGGAGGAGCGTCCTTAAAGCGTATCCAAGGTCGTCCGCGTTATTTTTCTAAAAAACATTTAGTTTGCTTGAACTTCAATGTGACTTCAACATAAAAGGCAACTTGGGATATCGCAGATTGTTGCCTACGGTCTTCCTGACATCAGGAACGAAAACACAACGTCGGATATGTACACAGACGTACGGGGCTCGGCGTTCTCCGTCGGGATCGTGGAGTTCGTAATTTCGCCCCAGCCAGTGCACCGATCAAAACTCAGATTCTGATAGCCTGGATTTAAAAGTCAACATTTTTGTTGAACTTCAGCACTTTTGTTGAAGTTAAATCTTGCGATTTCCTGACCCGAACCAGCGACCGCGCGCAAAAAGTCATCGCAAACGTGCAATTAACGCGTGAATATCATCGAGCTTGCTTTGATACGACCATAACCCAATTTTGGCCGTGATTTCAGCCCGCGGACCTCCGCGACACCGCGCGCGGTCGACGTACAGCCTCTATGGACGACTAATGACTCTGGCTCCGCCGGCCGGAATTCGATGATTGATCTTTATTAATATTTCGTACGGGTGCACCTAGATGTACGTTGATCGGGGCACTGGCCCCAGCCATCCGTCGACAGTGGCCGGGGCTCAGCGGGGGGCTCAGCGTACGGCATGGGCACGTGGGGCTGTGTTCAGCCACGAAAACCGAACCAATCGGAGAGCTTGGAAGTTCTACCAGAGAAGGGGCTCCAGAGGACTCAGAAAATGCAAAATTGGCCGCCCCGCTACCGCCCTGGGGAGAGCTGAAAATCCCCGACACCAAGTCGGTTTATGCTAGGTTACTCTAGTACGTAGGAGTTTCCGTGCAATCGCCGCGAACTAAAATTTTAAGATCACGACAGGAAGAACGGTGCTTGCGATCGCGCGAGCGCTGCAAAATTTATTGAAGCCAATGCATCGCGTCGCGCTCGTCGCCGTTGCGCTCGTCGCCGCGGTCGCCGGCGAATGCGTTGACAAAAAGTGGTACAAGAAAAGCGAGAAGAGGACCTGCGCCTGGGTCGCCAAGAAGCACGAGTCGCGGTGCGAGCTCTCCAAGGCGAAGCAGAAATGCCCCGTCGCCTGCGGCGAGTGCGACCCCTGCGAGGACGACAAGAAATTCAAGACGGAGGGCAAGTCCTGCCGCAAGATCGGGAAGATGAAGCCTTCCAAACAACGCACGTGGTGCGAGAAGAAGGGCACGAGCGGCAAATCGAAGAAGAAGCTCAAGGCGCGCGTCGCGTGCCCGACGGCCTGCGGCGTCGGGTCCTGCAAGGCCGCGCCGACGGCCGCGCCGACGGCCGCGCCGACGGCCGCGCCGACGGTCGCGCCGACGGCCGCGCCGACGGCCGCGCCGACGGCCAAGCCAACGGCCAAGCCGACGGCCAAGCCGACGGCCAAGCCGACGGCCAAGCCAACGCCGGCCCCGACGCTCGATCCCTTCGACACCTACGTCGGCGAAGGTTACTGCCGGTCGCCGCTCGACGCGGAGATCTACGTCCGCGACGGGACGTCGTGCTGGGACGCGTGCGTCGCTGCCTTTGAGCCGACCCGGACGATCGTCGCCGTCGATTTCCGCGAGTGCACGTGGGCCGGCTGCCGGTGCTTCTGCCGGGACGCCTGCGAGTGCCTCGCGGAGCCCGACCTCGGGAGCACGCTCGTCGTGCCGCGGGGCTTCGAGCTGCCCGGCCCGCTCAAGTGCGGCGAGACTCGGGCGCCGACGCCGGCGCCGACGCCCGACCCGACGACGGCGGCGCCGACTCCGTTCTTCTGGCTCTCGAAGTGCGAGACCGAGGTGTCGCTGTGCGGCGATTCCGTCGACCAGAGCGCGTGCGAAACGAGCTACAAGGTCGAGGACGGCGTGAACTCCACGTGCTCTTGGAACGGGATACGGTGCAAGTTCTCCGCGGGAGCGACCGAGGCGTGCCGAGTGGATCCGTACGACACCTACGTCGGCGAAGGCTGGTGCAAGTCGACCCTCGACGCGGAGATCTTCGTCCCCGCCGGGACGTCGTGCTGGGACGGATGCGTCGCGGCCTTTGAGCCCGACAGGACCATCGTCGCCGTCGACTACGTCGAGTCCGAGTGCACCGAGGCCGGCTGCCGGTGCTTCTGCCAGGACGAGTGCGCGTGCCTCGCGGAGCCCGAACTGGGGAGCACGCTCGTCGTGCCGCGGGGCTTCGCGCTGCCCGGCCCGCTCACGTGCGGCGAGCGGGCGCCGACGCCGGCGCCGACGCCGCCCCGGCCGACGCTCGACTGGTGCTGGTTCCCGCCCTGCGGCCCCCGGCCGTCGCCGGCCCCGACGACGCCGGAGCCCTCGCCGGCGCCGACGACCGCGGCGCCGACGCCGACGCCCGCGCCGACCGTCGACGGCCCGCACGCGAAGATACGAGGGTTCGCGCGGGCCGGCTTCGACATGACCGGCGGCTACGGAGGCGCGACCGCGGCGGCGACGACCGCGGCCGAGTTCGCGGACTTCGTATCCCGCGACGAGCCGCTCGTCGTGACGATCGACCGGCACCTCGCGCTCGACGATCCGAATCTATCGTCGACCTACGACGTCGCGTCCCACAAGACGATCCTCGGCGTCGGCGATTACGACGTCGCGTCCCACAAGACGATCCTCGGCGTCGGCGACGGCGCGATGATCTCCGTCGGCTCGGTCCGGATCAAGCGACGGACGAACATCATCATCCAAAACATCCGCTTCTCCGGCGCCGTCGACGGCGGCGGCGACGCGCTCGCGATCTTCGACAGCTCCTACGTCTGGGTCGACCACTGCACCTTCGACGCCGCGGCCGACGGCCTCGTCGACGTCACGCACGGGTCGCGCCACGTCACCATTTCGTGGAGCCACTTCTTCGACCACGACCACGGCGTCCTCATCGGCAGCCGGGACGACCGACCCTCCGACGTCGACATCTCCGTCACGCTCCACCACAACTGGTACCAGCAGGACTCGCGGTCGCCGCCAGCGTCCTGTGGCCGGGACGATTTTCGAGAGATTTCGGGTGGGGAAACGATGAAAAATCGTTACCGACACATTTGGTAGGTCGCCGCGCGTCCGCTTCGGGCGCGTCCACGCGTACAACAACTTCCACGACGACCAGGAGCGGGGCGTCGCGTCCTACATGGCCGCGCGCGTCGTCGTCGAGGCGTCCTACTTCTTCCACTGCGCCAAGCCCACGCAAGCCGAAGGCGGCGACCTCGTCCTCCGCGGCGGCAACATCTTCGCGAAGAACGACCGCGACGGGAGTTCGAGCGGCGACGCGTTCGAGCCCCGGGACGTCTACGACTACGAGCTCGACGCCGCCGCCGACGTGCCGGCCCTCGTGAGGGCGGGCGCCGGCTCGGGCAAGGGCTGGGACGACGCCTGGCTGGGCCAGGGCGGCAACTTCAAGCAGCCGGCCTAGGCGCGCCCCGGCTCGATAAACGCACACGCGCGGGATGTTGAAGCTCTCGATGCACCCGAGGTACTCGTCGAGTTTTTAGGGCTTCTTCGTCGGATCCCAGCCCGTGACGAGGTACTCGTCGAAGCCGTCGAGCGTCGCCATGTCCGCCTCGCTGATGGGCGCCTGATCCGCGGGTATGTTGTTCTCCTCGATGCGCGCGGGCTTGACGGATTTGGGGATGACGACGTAGCCCCGCTGGAGGCACCACTGGATGAGGAGCTGGGCGCCCGTCAGGCCCTAGGCCTTCGCGATGGCCAGGAGCTTCTTGTCGCCGAGCTTCTGGCCGCGCGTGAGCGGCGAGTACGCCTCGACGACGATGCCTTTTTCGGCGCAGTACGCGCAGAGCTCGGAACGCGTGATGTAGGGGTTCACTTCGATCTGGTTCACGGCCGGCGGCGCGCGGCAGATTCGCCAACAGCTCCTCGAGATGATGGATGCCGTAATTCGAGACGCCGATGGACTTTACGAGTTTTTCCTTCTGGAGATCCTCCATCGCCTTCCACTGCTCGAGCCGCAGCGACCGCGTGTTGGGGCTGTGCACGAGGTACAAGTCCACGTATGTCAGCCGCAGCTTCTTCAGCGACCCTCGCAGCGCCTCGCGGACGGCGTCGTAGCCGCGGCCGGACTGCGGGAAGAACTTGGTCGTCACGTAGACGTCGCCGCGCGCGACGGCCGCCTGCTCCGCGAAAAACTTCTCGAGGGCCTTGCCGACGTCCGTCTCGTTCCGGTAGATCTCTGCCGTGTCGACGTGCCGGTAGCCGCTCCGCAGCGCGTGGAGCACGGCGCGCTCCGTTTCGCCGCCGTTGGCAGCACAGTAAACGCCCAAGCCCAGCTGCGGGATGTGCGTGCCGTCGTTGAGGGCGATCGTCGCCTGCCAGCCGGTCGGCGCCGCGGCCGTCGCGTCGGAGCCCGCGCTGGTGGTCGTGACCGTGTGACCCGTCGCGCAGCGCGACTTGCGCGAGCTCGCCTTTTTGTTCGCGGGGCTGCCCATGCCTTGCCAGTTTTTGTTCAACAAAAGTTTTGTGAGAGCATGGGGGGGCTCCATCGATCGCGACCGCTGCTCGTCGGCCTCCTCCTGAGCCTCTCCGCCGCCGCCGCCGCGGCGGGCGACTGCGACGGCGGCGCGACCGTCGGCGCGTCGCTGTGGCCGACGCCGCGGTCCTTCTCGATGGGCGACGGCGCGACGCCCGTCCGGTCCGTGACCATCCGGCTCAACGCGAGCGCCGCGCGCGCGCCGGTGCTCGAGGCGGCGGCGGCGCGCTACGGCGCGCGCGTGCGCGGCGGCGCCGCCGGCGCGGCCTACGTCTGCTACGTGGACGTCGCGTCGCCGTCGGCCGCGGCCGCGCCGCAGCTCGAGGACTTTGAGGGCGGCGGCGAGGCCTACGCGCTGACGGCGACGGCCGCGGGCGCCCAAATCGTCGCGGCGACGGTCTGGGGCGCGCTCCGGGGGCTCGAGACGCTCTTCCAGGCCGTCGTCCGCGACGGCGACGCCTGGTGCGTCGCGGGGACGCCGCTCGTCGTCGACGACGCGCCGCGCTTCCCCTGGCGCGGCCTCCTGCTGGACACGGCGCGGCGCTTCTACCCCGTGGCGGCGATCCTGCGCCAGCTCGACGCCATGGAGGCGTCGAAGCTCAACGTCTTCCACTGGCACCTGACGGACGCGGAGAGCGTGCCTGTGGCCCTGGCGGCGCTGCCCGCCGCGGCGGCGGCCGGCGCGTTCGCGCCCGCGGCGACCTACGACGCCGCGGCCGTGGCGACGGTCGTGGCCCACGCGGCGGCCCGGGGCATCCGCGTCGTGCCCGAGTTCGACACGCCCGCGCACGCGGGCGGCTTCTTCCTCTCGCGGCCGGACCTGTTCTGCGGCGACACCTACGCCGACGCCGTGCTCGACCCGACGCGGGAGGCGGTCTACGAGTTCCTCGACGCTTTATACGCGTCGAGCGCGAAACTCTTCCCGGACGACGTCCTCCACGTCGGCGGCGACGAGGTCTCGACGAAATGCTGGAACGCGTCGGCGTCCGTCCGCGCGTGGCTCGCCGCGCGCAACGCGACCGTGGACTCGCTCTACGGCTACTACGAGGCGCGCGCCGTCGCCATCGCCGCGCGCGCGGGCCGCGCGCCCATGGCCTGGGACGAGGCCTTTTCGGACCCGGTCGCGCGCGCGGGCCTCGACCCGCGGCGCGCGATCGTCCACGCGTGGAACGGGCCCGGCGGCTCGCCCGTCGCCTCGGACCCGCGCCTCGCGGCGGCCGTGGCCGCGGGCTTCCGCGCCGTGTCGTCCCACGGCTTCTACCTCACCGCGGGCGACGGCGTCGACGCGGACCTCGTCGTCGAGTGGGAGCACCTCTACGACCGGGACCTCGCGAAGCCCCTCGGCGAGAACGGCTCGTCGCCGCTCCTCCTCGGCGCCGAGGCCGCGCTCTGGGGCGAGAAGATCGACCACCGCACGGTCGACGCCGTCGCCTGGCCGCGCGCGGCCGTCTTCGCCGCGCGGCTCTGGTCGCCGGACGCCGCGTTCACGCCGGGCAACTACACCGCGGCCTTCCGGCGCCTCGTCGTCCACCGCTGCCGCCTCGTGCGCCTGGGGGTCGCGGCGACGCCCGTCGACGAGGGCGCGCAGAAGTTCGACCGCCGCTCGCCCTGGCTCCAGTGCCCGTCGTAATGTAGAGGATCGCGTCCGAACGGCGCGCTGCTGCAACTTGAAGCCGCACTTATTCTAGTTGTACTTGCCACAACACTCAAGGATGGCTCCAAGCCCTGCCCTTCACCGACGCCTCTGCATCGTGGCCATCACCGTTGCGTGCGCAGCGCTCGGACCGCCGCGCGCGTCGCGAGTGGTTCGATTGCGGGTCGTCCGAGCGGCGTCGAGCGATGCGGCGTCGAGCGATGGGCCGCCGCGGCGGCGCGGCGCCTACGGCACGGCGAGCGCCGCGGCGCTCGTCGCCGGCACGACGGTCGGCGGCGGGTTCCTCGGCCTGCCCGCCGTGGCGGCGCCCGCGGGCTTCGGGCCGACGGCGGCGACGCTGTCCGCGTCGTGGCTGTTCTTGCTCGCGGAGGCGCTCGTCGTCGCCGAGGCCGTCGGCCGCTGCCGCGGGCCCAAGGCCGCGGCGCCGTCCGTGGCCGTCGTCGCCGCCGAGGCCGGCGTGCCCGCGAACGCGATCAGAGGGCTCTTCTTCGCGCTGGTCACGGCGACGCTCGCCTCCCAGCTGTCGAAGGCCGGCTCCATGCTCGCGGGCCTTCCCTACCGCGCCGCGACGCTGGCCGCGGCGGCCGCGACGCTCGCGTTCGCCCTCGGCCCGTCCGTCGAGCGCGCGGCGGGCGCGAACGCGCTGCTCACGGCGGTCTTCGCGGCGGCGGCCGTCGCCGTCGGCGGCGGCGCGGCGGCCGCGGCGCGAGGCGGCGCACTGCCCTTCGACGCGTCGCTCCTCCTGAGGACCGACGCGTCCGCGGCGCGGCGAGCGCTGCCGACGGTGCTCCAGCTCCTCGTCTTCGCGGAGACCGTGCCCACGGTGAGCGGGCTCCTCGACGGCGACCCGCGGCGCGTCCGCCTCGCGCTCGCGTTCGGGTCGCTGTGCCCGCTCCTCCTGGAGGTCGCGTGGGCCTACCTCGGCCTCGGCCTCGGCGCGCCGCGCGTCGACCCCGTCGACGTCCTCCTCGCGGCGCCGGCGACGCGCGCGGCGACGGCGGCGCTCGCGGCGTCCGCCGTCGCGACGACGGCCCTCGGCTCCGCGCTCGCGCTCCGGTCCGACGTGCCCGAGGCCGTCGCCCGGCGCGAGCTCGCGGCGCTCCTCGCGGCGCTGCCCGCCGTTGGCGTCGCGCTCACGTCGCCGGGCGTGTTCTTCGCGGCCATGGACTGGGCGGGGGCCTACCCCGTGGCCCTGCTCTGGGGGCTCTTCCCGCCCGTCGCGCTGCTGCGGCTGCGGCGGAAATCCGAGGGCGCCCACCCGAAGAGCGCGGGCCCCGACGCGTGGCTCGCCGCGCTCGCGGCGGTCTCGGGGCTCTTCGTCGCGTCCACGGCGACGCGCGACCTCGGTGCGCTGGTAAGGCGTCTTGTTTCGTAACCCGCACTCGCGACGGCACGCCTGCTTCTGGGCGCCAAGGCTCCCAGGTGCTTCACGGCGTGCTCAGCGTGTCACGTTGACTCACTAGTGCACAAGTTGCCTCGGAGAGCGCGGGAAGCATGGGAGGCCTGCTGGATTCAAGCTCGGACGACGACGACGCGCCCGCTGCGGCGCCGCCAGCAGCGGCGCGCAAAAAGGGCCTGCTCGATTCGTCGTCTGACGAGGACGAGAGCGACGAGGGAAGCGCGCCGGCCGTGGAAGAGCGAAAAACCGCAGGCACCAAGCCCCCGCCGCGCAAAGCGTCGCCCGTCATCGACCTCGCCGCGTCGTCCGACGACGAGGCGCCGCCGGCGAGGGGCGCGAGCCGCGTCGACGAGATGAGCGTCAAGGACCTCAAGGCGCTGATCGCGCGCGCCGGCCTCGGCTGCGCGGGCTGCGTCGAGAAGGACGACATCCGTCGCCGCGCGCGGGAGGCGGAGGCGCGCCTCGCCGAGGCGGCGCGGCTCAAGTCGGAGACGGCGGAGACGGTGCAGGGTGTCGCAGAGGCGGCGGCGCGGCTCAAGCGGCCGGCGGAGGCGGCGCGGCCGTCGGCGGCGGCGAAGCGGCCGCGGCCGCCGAAGGCGCCGTCGCCGCGGTCGTCGTCGGAGGCCGCGGCCGGCCCGTTCTCGGCGGGCGACGGCCGCGCGGTCGTCTTCATGGGCTTCCGCGCGCGGCCGGACCTGAAGGACGAGCTGGCGGCGCTCGTCGCGTCCGTCGGCGGGCGCGCGGTGTCCACCGTCTCCGGGAAGACGGCGCTGCTCGTGACGGGCACGCTCGGCGCCGAGGGCGGCCACTCGAGCTTCTCCAACCTCGAGCGCGCCGTCGAGGGCGACGTGCCCGTCGTCGACGCGGCGCGGCTCCGGCGCGTCGTCGCGGGCGCCGAGCGCGCGCCGGGCCGCGGCGACGCGCGGCGGCGCCGCGAGGCGGCGGCGGCGCTCGTCGCGGCCCACCCGC